CCACGTCCCGTCGTAGAGCCGCGTGTTCCACTTGCGGAACTTGCGGGATTGGAGAGCGTCTGGGGTCAGGTTGCAGATCTCCAGGCGGGTGAATTCCCGGAGGAAATCCCGGAAGGACATCCTGGAGGAGAAGGAAACACCCAAGGGTGAGAGGGGAGGTTTTTTCCTGGTGTAAAAGGGTTGGGAAAGGGTCATTTTGATCCCTCAGGGGGTGAGTTTCCAGAGGAAATCCTGGAAGGACATCCTGGAGGAGAAGGAAACACCCAAGGGTGAGAGGGGAAGTTTCTTCCTGGTGTAAAAAGGTTGGGAAAAGGGTAAATTTGATCCCTCAGGGGGTGAATTCCCAGAGGAAATCCTGGAAGGACATCCTGAAGGAAAAAGAAACACCCAAGGGTGAGAGGGGAGGTTTTTTCCTGGCGTAAAAGGGTTGGGAAAAGGTCAATTTTGATCCCTCAGGGGGTGAATTCCCAGAGGAAATCCTGGAAGGACATCCTGGAGGAGAAGGAAACACCCAAGGGTGAGAGGGGAAGTTTCTTCCTGGTGCAACAGGGTTGGGAAAAGGGTTGGTTTGATCTCTCTCCACTCACCAAAATTCACCATCCTCCATTTTCACCATCAGCTGCTGCCTCAGCGCCGGCTCCACCGCGTTCCACTCGGACGAGCTGTGGGCAGCACATGGATCTCACCCCCAGGGCTGAGCAGCTTTGTTAATTAACACTAACGAAGCCCCCATGCTCCTCACTTGTCACTCCAGGCTCCTGTCCACTCCACTTCTCCCCAGGGATTGCGCATCCGGATCAGGCCCATGGATTGCCCCCGATAGTTGATCTGTGAACGGCGCCGTTCAGGCCTTGTGACCCAAAAAGTGCTGTTTTCACCCCAAAATGGGGTTTGTGTCTCACCTGCTTGGCCCCTGTCACCGAGTAGGCGTGTCCCTTCACCAGCTTCTTGAAGGTCACTGCCTCCATGTCGAAGGCGCTCGTTATCTGCCAGGAAAGGATGGGTATGTTAACAGCCCACGATGCCCTCCTGGGGTGGAAACAAACCTCACCCAAAATCCTCTTTTTTAACCCCAAAAGAAGGTGCCTCACGTCGATGGAGCAGCCGAGGAGGGAGCCACGTTCCAGGGCCTTGAGGATGATCTGGTAGAGATCCTGGGGGGGTTTGCGCAGGTCGTACCACTCGGTGACGCCGCCGGTGAAGTCCTCAAAGCCTTCTGAGGTGCTGCCCCCCGACAGCGCCTCATAGCAGCCGTTCACCCTGTGGGGAGGGTTTGGCTGTTTTGGGGGTGTTTGGCCCCAAAATGAAGAGGTGGGGAGTTGGGGAGGGGGATGTACTTGGCATAGGCCTTCTCCAGCAAGGCGCTCCAGAACTCGGTGCCCTCGGCCGAGTGGACGAAGAGCAACTTGCCATCCTTGGTGGGCAGGTAGTCGTCCACCACCACGTCCAGCCACTCACCAAACTGCCAGATCTGAGGGGAACAGGGGTGAGGATGAGGAGACACCCCCTTTTTTATCCCAGGAGGGGCATTTTGGGGAGAAAACACTCTCTTTTTTGGGGAAGAGCCTTGTTTTGGAGCCAAACAGTGGCTCTTCCCACCACAAAATGGTCGTTGGTTTCACCTGATGGTGCTGCCACTTCCTTGCCCGATCCACCTCTTGGGAGGGGGGGTCCCAAAATGGTGGGTAGGACCAGAAAAATGATGGAAAGAGCCCCAAAACGGTGGAGGGGAACCCCAACATGGTGGAGAGAAGCTCAACACTCTCAGCAGGGCCACCAAAACAGTGCAAAAAGCCCCAGAATGGTGGAGGAGAGCCTCAAAATGGTCACCGTGACCATCAAAATGGTGTAAGGAACCCCAAAATAGTGGGAGACCCAAAAGGGTGGAGGAGGGACCCAAAACAGTGACGGGGACCCCCAAAATGGTGGAGGGAGCCCCAGAATTTGAGGGAGGGGGTTTAAGCACCTGGAAGTGGAAGATGCCAGCGTAGCCTTGCTGGAAGCTCTGCCCGTGGGGCACCACGCGGTGAAGGAGGGTGTCGTTGAGTGTGAGGGAGGCAATGGCTGCCAGCAGCCAACAGTCACCTGTGGGCATGGTTTTGTCTCAGTTTTGGGGTAAAAAAGGCCATTTTCTGGTCACTCGACACCTGTCGCTATGTTTTTTAAGCCCTACAGGTGTTTAGGGTGAAGCCAGGCAGGGTTGGACCCTCTGGTGAGGGATCCCAACCTGCTGCTGGTGGCACCGGCATGCAAACAACCTTCGACCTGATGAAACCTTCCCCAAAAACCTCCCAGGTTGGGGCAAAAAGGTAGAAAGTCAGGAAAAATGAAGCACTGGAGCTCCCTACCCAGAGCTCCCTGGCAGATGTCGGTGCGTGTGGCCCCGTCCACGATGAACTGCGGGCGCGGACACAGCTCCTGCAGGGTGAGAGGGAAGGGAAACACCCCCAAGTCGGGTCTCCAGAATTCACCCAAACCACCACAAAAGGTGGGATATTTATGGGTTGTGTTTTCCCAGCGGCCTCAAGACCGACCGGGCGAAAACCTGTTAATTAACACCCCGTCCTTACCAGCCCCACTCACCGTCGGCCTCTTCCACTGGACGCCGTGGGTTTTGGAGGTGCCAGGGCCCAGCTCACGGAAGCCCAAGGAAGCAGGAGCTGGTGGGAAGGTCTGGTCACGGAAGAGGGTCCCGGAACGCCGACATTCCTCCACCAGGCGCCCGTAATCCTGCCCCAGGTACCGCAGCGCGTTCTCGTGCTGCCCCAAGCCCAGCGCCTTCGCCCGCTGCCGCTGCACCTGCGCCGACACCCCGGTGCAGTAAACGGGCACGATGGGCTCCTCTGCCATCCTGGGGGGAAAAACACGGGAAGCTGGGGGGGGGAAAGGAGGAAAAACAGACTTGGGAATCACGTTTCCAACAGGTTTTACCCTCCGGTGGCACCGGGTACTGCGGAAGCTCCACGTGCACTCGCGGCGGGATGAGGGCGGGGAGCAGGACCTTTTGCCCCCCATTAATTAAATCGAGGGGGAGGATAATGAGTGCACTTAAAGGCATGGTTCATTAGCAGGGGGATCTAACGACATTGTTAATTAGCAGGGGGATCTAACAACAAGTAATTGCCGCAGCCTCGTTTGCTTGGCCTGAAGGGGAAGGGGAGGGATGCAAGGAGCCACATACCTGGTGCCTGCCGGGTGTTTTGGGGAGAACTGGGGACTTTGGGGGGAATCCAGGGATTCTGGGGGGGGACTTGGGGATTCTGGGGGAGGTTGGGAGGGTTTGGGTCTGCTGTTGGATCCTGACTGCAAGTGGCTTGTGAGAAAAGGGTGGATTTTTGACCCAAAATTAACCCCACCGTTGGGTTTTATGAAACCAAGCACTGGTCACGATCTCCAGGGAGAGGTTCTTTTTTTGTGGGGAAAATGCTAAAAACCACCCAAACTGCCCCAAATTTGGGGTCCTGCCTGAGTCATGCGGGGTTGGGGGCGACTGGGGTGATTTTGACAAATGGGCAGTGGCGCCTTTTTGGGGTGAAAAGAGGGAATTAAAGGGGCAGGGAAGCCCTCCTGGCTGTGCCACCCCCTGCAGCAGCTGCTCGCTGCCTGTAACCCATGCAGGCCCAAAAGTGGTGGGTTTAACCTCAAAAACGGCCCCGCGGTGATAAAAAAAAGGACAATTCTGGCACCCGGCAACTCCAAAGGGTGACGAATCAGGGGAAATGGCCCCAAAACAAGTCCTGCAAGTCCCAGCGTGTGTCACTGCCCCTCCCCGCCGGCACAGCCCCGAGCAAGGCTGTGTTGAACCCGTAAAGGCCTTAATTAAGCATATACAAAGCTTAATTAAGCATAGGGGAGGTTAGTTAAACATTAGCGAGGTTAATTATGCGTCAATTAGAGTCACTGGAGGAGTGACAAAGAGGTGACAGTGACGGTGGCAGCGCAGCCCCCCCACAAATGCAGCCATACATGGAGTTTCTGTCACCCCAGAGCTCAGCACAGCCCTTGGGAGGGCTCAGGGAAACCCTAAAAATGAGGTTTATGCCCCAAAACAGCCTAAGTTGTCCCCAAAATGAGGGTAGGGGGGAGTCTCTACCCACCCCCCCACCTCGGGCAGCTTTTTGGGGCACAATCAAGGCCTAGATCCCGGGGTGTCTCGCTGCATTTGGGACCCTGTTCCTCCCCCTTTCTTCATTAACGAGGTGCTCGTTATGTGTTTCCCCCTTAATGAGACTGTTAAGAAGTTGCTTCATTAATGAGGTTCCCCCCTTCACACCCCTGTGCCCTGGGGGTGTTGGGGCAACAGGGAAACAGGGAGATCCTCCATTTCCCTGCACCCTCCTAGAGAGGTTGGGAGCCCCAACAGTGACCAACACCCCCCCCCCCCCCCCCCCCCCCCAGCCACAAAAATTACACTTTTTGGTTCAGTGGGACAGAAACTGCCCCTTTTCAGCCCGTTTCCAGGAGGGCAGGGGGGACCCCCAGCAGGTGCTGCAGGGCAAAGGCTCCACCCAGGGGGCACCTCAGGGTTTGTTTCCCCTCCCAGTGCTCTGGGAAGGAACCACCACAGGAAAAAGGAGGAAAACCAACAACAACAAAATCCTAAATCTTAAGCAAAACCAACTCAACAAAGCACCCCGAATTCCCCCCCTTTCCCACAAGGATTTAATCCCCCTAAAAAACTCTTTCCTGGTTAAGATGGGGTGAGGGAACGCCCCACTCCCTCCCCCCAACTCCCACCCCCTTCCTGGTTGTGAGGACAGAGGAAAATGTGTCAAAATGAGGCTTTTTGCCCATTTTCCCTGTTTTCCCTCCCCCCGATCCGGCAGCACAGGCAGTTGTATAAGCGCCTCCAGACACAAAGTTGGGGTGAGGGGACAGCTTGTCCCCCCCCCATCACCCCAGGGTCACTGTCACCTCCCGGGGGGACACACGGGGACTTACCTCACTCTGGGGGGGAGGGGAGAGGGGGGGAGGGTCTCAAACTTGTAGCTTTTGGGTGAAATAAGGGGGGAAAAGATAAGAAATAGAAAGTCTTCCTGAAGGCGAGGCCGGGGTGAACCCCCTGCCCGCCCCCCCCGAGGCTCCTCCCTGTGCTGCTCCTCCCTCAGAGCCCAGCAGGAGGGGGAAATGGGGGAAAAGGGCGGGATTTTGGGGGTGGAGGGAATCCCTGGGTGGTTTGGGGGCAGTTTTGGAGGTTTTTAGGGCTGTCGTTCTCCGGCAGCTGCAGGAGTTGGGACACATGGGAACATGTGTGTGCAGAGAGGGCTGGGACACATGGGAACATGTGTGTGCAGAGAGGGCTGGGACACATGGGAACATGTGTGTGCAGAGGGCTGGGACACATGGGAACATGTGTGTGCAGAGAGGGCTGGGGACACATGGAACATGTGTGTGCAGAGGGCTGGGATACATGGAAACGTGTGCACAGAGGGCTGGGACATGGGGACATGTGTGTGCAGAGGGCTGGGACATGCAGGAGCACGCATGGGTGGAGGGCTGGAACATGCAGGGACATGCAGGGACATGGAGGTGCAGAGGGCAGGACACACATGCTGAGGGCTGGAACACATGGGAACACATGTGTGGAAGGGTGGGACACGCATGGGACACATGCAGACATCTGGGTCACACAGGAACACATGTACACCAAGGGCAAGGACATGCATGTAGAGTGCTGGGAGATGTGAACACACGTGCAGGGCAAGACATGCAGAGAACATACATGTACGGACCAGGACATGAGAACACACATGTGCAGGGGGCTCAACACCCCCATAACAGATATGTGGAGACCTGAGCATGTGTATGACATGGGCAAAGTGCTGTGACATGTGACATGTCTGTGATCCCTACCTGATCTTCCAGGATTGGTCCCTCAGCTCTGCAGCTCTGGGGAAGAGAGAACTGGGTTGGGGGGAAGGCAGCTCCTGTCACCCCACTTCGGGGGTCCCCCCAAATCAGAAACCCCTCATGTCAGACCCACCCCAATCCTTCCCCCCACATCAAACCCCCCCGATCCTTCCCCCCACCTCAGACCTCCC